CCCTGAACCCAAAACCTTGAACCCTAAACCCCATCTGCCAAGACTTGGAGTTCGTTTCAATCCGGCCCCGAAGCGCGTGCCCGGGGTTTAGGCTCTACGGGTTTAGTTTTGGAGTTTAGGGTTTATGGGTACCCCCACTTTTGCACCGCCCCCTGAGGTGGCCGACGCCAAAACTGCAGATGAAGCAAAAGAGTTCCTGGAGGATGCAAAGGCTGAGGTGCCGATCCGGAGTTTGGTTGCGGTTCAGACAGCTGGCCGGGGTATGGGGTGCAGGTATCATGCTTGACTTTTTATGGGGGACAAAATGAGCTTCAGGTCAAACAAAGAAATTAAAAGAGGCTCATGAATGGGTCATTATGGACTGGTTACGGTTTGTAGCGTTAGGCCTGCAACACGTGAGCATCAGGCAGGGCCCAGAAGCCTTCTAGGCAACTGGAAAGCAATGCCGGGAATTTCGGAACACATGTGGCCCTGTCCCTCTGGGGCATGAACCCAAGGCTTCGAGCAAGGAGACTTGGAGGGAGGTTCTTGTAGTTCTTCCGCCGCCACTAAAGAGGCTTGCTGCACGATCCCTGAACCCTAAACCCTAAACCCTAAAGCCCCCCCCCACCCCCAAAAAAAGATAAATAAACCCCTAAACCCCTAAACTAAACCCCTAAACCCTAAACCCCCAAACCCTAAACCCCTAAACCAGTGAAGCCCAAAAAGATCCTAGCGCCACGTGCAAGAAGCTTCGATGACAATTGAGAAGGAGGAACCTCAAGGTAGCCTAAGGCCCCTAAGTAGTTCCTTTTTGGGATTACTTGATAGGATCCTGGAACCTCAAGGTAGCCTAAAGAACCCTAAACCCTAAGCCGTTGAGAAGGAGCCCCAATTAGATTAGGATTAGGATAGATTTGGGTTTTGAGGGTATATGCTACTATGATTATAATAACGAGCCCCAAAATAGTGTTGGTAAGTGTCTTTACCCGTAGGCCCCTAAGTAGTTCCTTTTTGGGATTGCCTTATAGGATCCTGAGTATGAACTACAAAAAGGAACTTCTTAGGGGCCTATGGGTAAAGAATACACCTTTAAGCCCCAAAACCCGAAGCCTAAGCCCGAAAGCCTTTAGCCCCTAAAGCCCAAACCTTGAGCTCCGAGCAAGACCCTGAGCCGGGAAGTTGCCCCAAAGGGGTTAAGGCAGTTTCGGGTCCAGGTCGCAGTTTGACAGTTAAAAGTCCCTAGGCTGAGGTTTAGGGTTTAGGGTGTATAGTGTTTAGGATGTTCCAGTGGCCTCATTCTTTGCGGCTAGCGCACTTCAACTTCGAGCGGCTAGTGCATTTCGACGGTTGCTGCACGTGTGTTCACGACTTCGTCGCTACATATGTATGTATATATATACACACACACATGTAATCATACATACAAAAAGAACTAGCTATATGTATACATATATACACACATGCATAATACTGATACTGCTCAGGCGCAAGCCGTGGAGAAGTCGGCACACTCGACGGCCGACCCTCGGATTGCCTCAGAGGCTGCACTGACTGTACAAAATGGAGTCCTGCGCTCGTGCGTGTTGAAGCCATCAGACTTCAAATAAGGAGCATATGGAAACCATCACGGACAGATTGGCAGCAGAGGACCAGCAGGCAAGGCTGACGGGGCTTTAGTGGGACTGAAAGGCAATCTGTTCGGAGATGCGACTGCTACCTGTTTGTGAGGAGAACTCCGAGATGGCTGTGACAAAAATGCCCTGGAATGCTATCTGGCCCTGTGCTACCATGGTGCTGCTGATCTACATATACTTTGCTATGGGCATCCTCACACCTCACTCTATGGGCTACGAGCCGCTCGAGCCCGACCGCAGGGATCCGGCCCTGGTCTTGGCAGCAGTGCTCTACTGGGTGGCGATGCCCGTCGCTCTGGTCAGCTTGGGCTTCGGAGCCACCTGCGAGGAGGGAGCGCCTAACTTGGCTTACATCACCTACGGAGTCTTCTTTGCTGTACATTTCGTCTGCATCTTCCGGGCCATGCGAGGGTCTTTAAGCGAGAAACTCCACAAAAGCACTCGAAAGCTCGTTTTCATGCTCGTCCTTGCAGCGCTGGAGCACTTCGACATGGCCTCGGATGCGCTCTTCACCGGTACATCCGCTGCCTGCAGTGCGGAAATCACGGGCCTCTGGCTGCAATCCTGGCCTGATGTCCCCGGCGGAGGGCTCATGGTTCCGATGCTCTCTAAGCTGGGCTTCTCCGGCGTGGCACTGACGCTGCGTCTGGGTCCTGTAGTTAGGATGCTTCGAGTCTTTCGAGTGGTTGCCTTTGAGCGTAAGTTGTTCTCCTGAAGGGCTGGGCAGCCTGGTAGCCTTGGATGCCAGGTTCATTACCAATGCCTACCTACCTCAACTGCTGTCGGTTCTCTCTTTCTTCGCTCCCTTTGTGGCGCTGGTCTTCCTGCTCCTGGTAATGCTTTGGGCAGCCTTCGGCTGGCTCGTCGGCTTGGCGGCCATGCTTTCGGTCTACGGTTTCGTGATCTGCAGCCGCATAGGGAGGGGACAGATGGACGTATTCCACGAGGCGGTCGACTCTGAGGACCTTCGCCTTGCCTTCTATGTCGGTGCCGAGGTCGGTGAACTCCGACAAGGCGGAGATTTCGGCGCTCAGGGAAGAGTCGTACTCATCGTCGGCACGAGGCTCGTGCTGGAGAACTTGCTGCAGCTGTGGCTGCAAAGCTCCTACTTGTCACTCTCCTTCGATAGAATGGACGATTACGCTCGCTGGCAAGCGATGGCCTCCATTGTCGTGGGACTCCTTGTCGCAGGCGACTAGAGCCGAACCCAGATCCCATGTCCACTCTACACTGTACACCATGCCCCACATACCTGTTGACATCTCTTAGGACCATCTTAGGAGGTTGAACTGAGCTGGCAGTTCTTGGACTTGGACCCTGCAGGTGGCAAGGGGTTTCAGATCGCAGCAGTCTTCGTGCTAAAATTGGCAACGGGGACTGGCAGGGCTGTCCGAGAATGTGACATCTTCACGATAATATTCGGTGCCGTCGGGGTCTTCATGATGCTGGGCGGGTTCGGAGGTCTCGCATGGGTTTTGACGAAGGTGATCTTCATCTTCCGGTGCGACTCGCATGTTTGGAACCTCTCCACCGGCTGCGTGAGCCCGGGGACCTAAAGCAAACAAAAGACCGGACGCCGAAGGCACCCGAAAGGAAGCTCGCCGAAAGTTGGGGAGCTTGTGAATTGCTGACAGTCGCTTTTCTAGACTCAGCGGGATGCACGCTTGTACAGGTCTTTGCTTCATGGTATCCGGATTAGAGGCTTGTGTTTGAACACGTTGTCGTCTGATGTGCCCTTTTATGACTGATGGGCTGCGATGGACGCATAGTGACTCGAAGACGTGGTGAAGGACGGCGAGGCATAGGACATTCTTCGCAGCCTAGAAACTAGAAACCCAAGGGACCGGACGCCGAAGGCGCCCGAAAGGAAGCTTCTCTAAAGTCGGGGAGGTCCCCATGAACGACGGACTGACTTGTCGACTTGTCGGTGCAAGGTCTCAAAACCAGAGCGCTGTTTTTCTTTGCCTTAGCGAAGCCGTCGCTCGTGTCGCAGGCGTTTTTGGTCGCACGCGCTCAGGCACATGGCCGGAGACGAAGGCCGATCCGTTGCCCGGACCTGAGCAGACTGAGCTCCCTGATATTACATCATGCCTGCGTAAGTCTGCAGGAGTTGACGGGTTTGAAGACTGCAGAGTCAAAAATAGTAATGCTAGTAGTCATAGCAGTAGCAAGAGCAATAATTGACAATAGTTGTTATGACACTAGTTAAAACTGAAAACCGTCACCATCATCATCACCATCAGCACTATCGCGCTGCCGAATTGGCTTGGCAGAGTCTGGTCATGTCCCGTTAAGACGTGGGCCATGCAGCTGAGAAGTCTGCCCACGCCCAGCCGCCCCTCTCAAGTAAATGTACAACATGGGTTTTTATAGTATAATACTATACGCTGTGCTAAAGCGTAGATCGTGTATTCTAGTATTCTATTGCATTATCGCTCGACCTCTCTCTCTCTCTCCTCTGCTGCTGTCCTTCCACAGAGGTTGTAAAAACCTCCAAAACGTGTTGTGGTCTTTAGTGCTATTTTATATATACAGCCTACGAGCCATCAGCCCTTAGACCCCAAACCCTGAACCTTTACCCTAAACCCTCCAGGTACCTACTATATAGGGCTCTACTCGTAGGGGCTCTAGTACCCTATATCGTAGGTACCTGTGGGGCTAGGGTTTACCCTAAACCCACACAAAGTTCGGTTCGAGGGGGCGGGCCCGGGGGTCCAGGGTTGCAGGCCTGGGGCGTTTGGGCTTCAAGGTTTTGAGGCAGGGGGGTGGTGGCTCCACCGGACTTTGCAGTGAGAGCTGAAGTGTCCTCTAAACCCAAAGCTTCATAAAAGGCCCAGAGTTTTGGGTTCAGGATTTGGGACGACAACCTGGTACTACGCGGGAGGCCCCAAACCTTAGCTATACCATCATGCAGCCATCTTCGAAGTTCTGTTTTCCAAAGCAACTGAACTTTGAACGCCTGCAGTGTAGCCAGTGTCCGATGCTCCTCCGCAAGGGTGCACTCTTAGTTTGTGTCCAGGCTCTTGGCTCTGCAGCGCTGCTCTGGCTAGCCTATCCTTTTTCTTGTATATTTAGAATCCTATAAGGTAACCCCAAAACGGAACTGCTTAGGGGCATGGGTACCCATGGAATCGAAACAGTGCATCCCGTCGAACCCGCTGGTTTAATCCATTGAGGCCCCTCATTTCAAGCCTGTCGCAAGCAAGAATGAACTCTCCAAGAGATCCTTTTCGAAGCATCCTTCTCAAAGCCCCTGCTCCTCGGCCGGCTTGGGGCTTGGGGTTTATAGGGTTTAGGGTTCTGCCTCAGGCTGGCTTTCTTCCTCGGAGGCGAGCCGTCGAGAGATACCCGCGGTACGGGCAAAAGGGCCTAAAATTCTGCCATAGAGCTTTGAGGGTTCCTGTGAATTCCATGTGGCATTATGGTATCCAGCACCCACAACCGGAAGAAATCGGGCGAGGAGGTTGATTGAGTGTTGTCGGCCATCCTTGCCACGTAGGTGCTTGTTAATGTTTGGAGGATTATGCCAGAACCCTGAACCCCAAACCCTAAAACCAGAGCAACGACCCAAGCTCGGAACTTCCAGGCTTTGCCCGGTGCTGTCGGGCAGCATTGCCGGTACAATGCCTTGATACCCAATCTTACGGTTTTTGGTAGGTTTATTGTTTTTGTAGGTTTATTGGGGTTCATGATAAGAAGCTACAAAAACGCAGGCTATGGTACTTTATGGTAGTGCTTCAAGAAGTAGGGAACACGTTTCGGCGGCTCCGATTGTGAGGAGCCTAGTGGGTAAGGGACAGGCCGGTACCTGCCACGCAATAAATTGTTTCCTTTTGTTCGTGTCTACAGCAACTTTGGGTTTAGGGTTGAGGGTTTAGGGTGGAGGGTTGAGGGTTTAGGGTTTAAGAAGCTGTGTTGTGGCAGATGGCTTCCGATTGCATGCTCAACCCTGTGGGTCCCACATGCCCAACTCGTTTTATACTTTTACCTTAAAGTGGTCCCCCAAAAAAGGGACCATGTGGGTCTCTCTGCTATCTGGGCACAACATGGACCCTGAGGGAAACGAGCTAAACTCAAGCAGGCAAAGCCGTGCTCAACGCAGCTACCTTTTAAATAGGGTTCCTTATTCTCGGTTCTTTACAAAAGTCCTTAAAAAAAGGAAGGTTGTTCGGGGTTAAGGAAAGCCCTAACCCCCAAAACCCCCAGCAAAGCCCGAGCTAACACCAAACTTTAAAGATGAGCCCTAAATCCCGAAACCCACTTCCAGCTCTCATTTCACGACGCTTTTCCGCAGCCGGTTTTGGGAGGGCTAAGACCAGCAGTCACTCCGCGCGCGCGCCGAAAGTTCTCTGAAGTTCAGACCCATGGTTGGAGTCTGAGCCTCTTTGGGGGAGTTCGGAGTTGAGGGGACTTCGGGGTTTAGGGTTTAGGGTTGCGGGGTTTGGAGTTTTGGGTTTAGGGTCCCTGCCCGTTTTTTTGAGAAATCAATCGCTAGTTTGTCGAAACAAGTGCACATAAGTGGTTTATATAGGGTCGTTCGAGGTTTTAGGGTTTGGGGACGGGGCTTGACGGGACCATAATTTTCAGACCATTTCCTACGCCTTAGCGGTTTGGCTCTGGGGTTTGGGCCTCAGGCGTTGGGGTTTTTAGATTTGTCTTTGGGCCTTCGTTCGGGGTTTTTTCGGGTTGTGCCTTTGGGCTCTTGGCGTCTGGTAGACTTTGGGATTTTGTGTTTGGCCTTCGGGCTTCGGAGTTTAAGCTTGAGGCTTCTAGCGCTTGGCACCAGCACCCTCAAACGAAAAAACCCAAAGCCCGATGACGAAGGTGCAAAACCCAAAGCCTCGCGGGAGTCAAGGTTTAGGTGTTAAGGGTCCCCCAGAGTCCATCCACTCGAAGAGTCTTCTGGGTTCTTGTTAGGGGGGTTTCATTTAAGTTACCATAAGAAAGAAACCCTATACTTTACTATAGATCCCCATTATGGTAGCTTAAAAAATTTCCCTTACCAAGAACCCAGTCTTTTGCAGAGTCTTTCTCCAGGGGCTAGTATGCTACTGTACATACTGTAGTATGCTACAGTACACTGTAACATATTATAGATACCATAAACAAGCCAAAAGAAGGTAAACAGCTCTTGGAGCTGTCGAGCTGGAGCTTCCCCGGATGTCCGGAGACCCGGAGGGCGTGTCGGGGTTTGGGGGCTTATAGGGATTTAGGCCTTTTTTTCCGTTTGTAGCTTCGAGGGTTCGGGTTTCAGAGAGTACAGCTTACCCTAACCCCCCAGGTGCTTACTTTATAGGGTACCAGAGCCCCTAGGGCCCTTCACAGTAGCTACCTGGGGGTTTAGGGTTAGGGTTAGGGGTTAGGGTACAGCAGGGCAGAGGCCAGGCCGAGATCTGCATGAGCAGCTGGAGGCTTCAGGCGTCGTGTCCTGGACTTCTAGATGTACTTTGGGGCCCCTTGTTAGGGTTAATACCTATAAATAAGGTATACTTAGTTGTTTTGGGGGACATTATGCGTATCAGGACCCCAATGAGGGCCAATATAGTTAGGGTAGTTCAGTTAGTGCTTTTTCTCAGGGACACGATACGTATCAGAAGCCCAGTTAGGGTCCCTTTTTGGGGGTACTTCTAACTTCGAAAGCTTCTCTCGGAGACGAGACATCTCGGCTCCGGAGCTCTCCCCGCGGCACCTCTTCTGGGTTCTTGTTAAGAGATTTAAATTTAAGCCACCATAATAGGGATCTATTAGTAAATAGTATGGTTTCCTTCTTATGGCAACTTAAATTAAATCCCTTAACAAGAAACCAGTCTTTCGCCCGCCGATGATGCGCCTGGGCCTTGGCCTCTTCCTGCTCGGCCTGCTCGGCCTCGGCCTCTTCGGAGGCACAGAAGGGGGGGAATGGCGAGGGAAGGGTTTAGGGAACCCTAAACCCTACACCGTGGATAGCCCCTGGCCACCGTTTTTTTTGTTGGCCCAGGATTTTGCATAATGGAGCCTCGAAGCCCAGCTGATGGCAACTGAGCCTCCGTCAGAGTTTCGTCAACGACTCCTACTACTCTACGAGAAGCGGCCCCAACCCCGCATCCGAAGTAATCTTGACGAAGCTCCCCGAGTTGCCGTGACATGAGGGTGCCTCGGGAGGCCTGAGACCCTTGGGGTGTTGGAGGCGGAGAGCTTCAGGTCTCAAGACCCCTTGGGGTTCCCTCTCTGAGGGCTTCT